GGAAGTTCGAAAATTTTTTTTATAGGCATATGGGGACTAAGGGAATTGTTGATACGATTCAACTCATTTTTGCCCAAAAATACAAACATATATATCAGATAAAGATTCTCTCTGATTTCTATAACATATCTTATCGATTGAACGATATTTTCGATAAAAAGTTCGCAATAGGAACGGGTCCATATATTCGGTACCTGGTGGCTTGAACAGTTTTGGTTCGCTTTAGATAATTTTTAGTCATAAGCTGGTACACTTCAAAGTCAGTAAGCGTGCAAAGTTTTATCCCGATACATTAATTGGGACTTAGTTTGTATACTAGAAAGTGAAAGAATCAGATGGATTTTAAAGTTTGATTTATATGAGAAGTAGACGTGGCATTTTCACACTGCGACATAGGAATGGCAGAATAATGCTACCTACGGAAATAAAACGTGCAAGTCCCGATATATGGGTTTTCACCGAAACGTGGGCGGTGTCACGCCCATTATCTAATTTTGACCCCGCCTCCTATAAAGCCCCCTCTTACCATCTGGGATGTAAAATTCAATGTCTCTGGCGTATTTAGTTATTGATTATCGCGCTTTTAGTAGTAATAGTATCGGTTGAGTGGGCGGGGTTATTATCCGATTTCATCCATTTTTACAGTGATTTATTTTGAACGAATTTGGTTTTTGTTCCTTAAGTGGTTTAGGAGATATGTACATTAAACCTCTTAAATAGCGGGACCATGCCCATTTTTTCAAAGTTTTTAACTCACAGGTGCTCCTTGATACTGCAATCCCTTGTGCTAAATTACAGTTCAATATTTGAATTAAGTGCTTAGTTATGGCACTTTATAGGTTTTCGTTTAATACCGTTTCGTGGGCGTGGCAACGGTCCGATTACGCCCATCTATGAATTTGTCCTTACTTTTTACCCAAGGAACAAATTTTAAGCTAGTTACAGCTTGCACGGAAAAACAGACGGACGGATCATTTATACAAGGTGCGTTCCAAAGTAAACAGTAAAAAAGTAACAAAGTAAACTCTAGTGGCGCCATTTATATGTCGACTAGTGCAGAAGGAGAATATTTTGAATAAAATTAATTGATTTTGCCGATAAAACCATTTGTTCTGTCTTTTTTTTTAAAGTCCTGTTTACTTTGGAAAGCACCTTGTATATGTATATATAACCCGATATCTATCTCGATTGGTTTTAGGTGATTCAAACACCCATTAGGTACACAAAACTACTATACTTTGTAGCAAATGTTGCAAGATGTATGAACGCGAAAGCTGCCCTCAGACTCAGAGAATCTGGTTACTTAGATGACTGTTAGCCCGTGCGCTCTGGAATCCTCTCACAGTTTGAATTCATTTCAAAATACGTGGATTACCAGGTCACCGAGCCTGGCCCCGGTTGTCACTTTTCTGCTCACGTGCCTTCGAGAGAGCTATGAGAGGTAAGGGCTCGCTGGAGGAGAGTGGTGGTGAGCTTTTTTACGGATCGATCAAAGTTTGCGGGTAGGGTTGAGGGAGGAGTACACTGTCGGGCGTTTCAGGCTTCCCGACCACTTCAGCGTCATCCAAGAGGTGGCTGCCATAAAGGTGGCAGTTGATTTGATTAAATTCTAAGAAACTCTTTGTTCTCGGCAAGCGCTACCTTTCAATGGTTGTAAAAATTCTAACTGGACACTTTCGCAGCGGGATTCATGCAGTAAGATTGAATATCTTACCGGATGCCAGCTGCATCAGCTGTCTGGAAGAAGTTGAAATAGAATCATCTCAACACCTCCTCGGGGAAATAGATATAAAACAGCTAAGCAAATTTGTGGTAAGTTCAGGGCATTTCTGCCGATAATTGATATCCAACTAAAGGAGTTTTTCCTTTGGCTTCACAAAGGGACTGTACATAACAGTCTAAGTGTGATCCTCCATCATGCTAAAGGATCAGCCATCTAACTTAACCTAACCTAAGAACAGCCAAATGGTCTGAGCCAGTACTTATCGACAATATTTTGAAAAATGTTTTCTTCCACTACAACCACAATAACTAATTTCGCAAATTTTCAGCAGTGTTCAATTCATTTCATTCCGAGAGAACTCACCTAGGTTGTAAAAAACTAAAATACCCTGTGTGTCACAAACTGCTCTCGGGTATAATAAAATTGTTGCGACAAAAACAAGCGAGTGTGCAATAAATTGTGTAATTATTTTCGCTCCGCATAACGTGCAGGATCGTTGACTAGCTAGTGGACTAGGCGCGTATGCCAAGTACTTGAACCTGCTGAGGGCGAACGGCTTGTTTGCGCTCAATCGGCCAATCGAAGGCAAAAGTGGGCGTGACCTTTGCGGTTTAAAAGGGTAAGCAAGCCAAACTCGTCAATGAATTATAAATTGGTAACATGTGTATGCGCAATTAGCGGACAAGTAGCACAAATAATACAACAACAAAAAACAATAAAATATCGAAAGAAATTGTTGATGTTATTGTAGCGCTGGCGATTGTTTACATAATTAAATTGCTAACTAATTACATATTTGTCAATCGCTCGTTATGAATGTAATGAATATGATTGTTGTTGTTGTTGTTAGTGTTGTTATGCGTACAAAGGATGAAAAAACGATAATTGCACTTGCCAAGTGGCGCAGCGAGTTATCCTGGATGGATACATGCATACTTATTTATATTTGGTATATGCGTGTGTGCTTGGAGCAGCAGGAAGTAGTAAATATATATATGTATATACATTTATATACACACGTATGTATCTGAATATTGTACATATAGATTTGTATATGCATATATTTTATCCAAGACGGCGTCATCACGGGGATTTTTGTTCTAGACTTTTTGCATTTTCTTAAAGCATAATATCTTACAAATACTGTCTAAGGTAAATCTGACAAATACTTTTCGAGTTATGCGACAATTAGTAAAGGTTTCTCGGGCTCTCTGAAACGTTGGCGTTAAACTTCAAATGTGTTTTTCTCAAAAATATTTTGTTTAAACTTTAATGGAATTTATACAGCTTTTTAAAAACATGGGAATGCCTTATCGAAGGACTTTTAAAAAACATAGGAGACCCTATAAAATATACATAGATGGGTCATTTTATACAAAACTTACATTAAAAGTTTTGTTTCGTGCTAAACCATTTTCCCACTCCGAAAAATACAAATTAGTAGCTGAATAGACTAAAGTACATTTTTTCAATAAAAAAAGCTGAATAAAAAGATAACGTATTTCTCATGGGATAGCTAAGAAGAATCGTAAACATTAGGCTGACTAGTTATTTTTATAATGAATTACAAGGTGAATTTATCGCAAAATTCACTTTTTTAAATCGGTGAACACGATTTCTCCAAAAGTTGTGAAGCGATTTTGTTACAATTTGCTCATATCTTTGAAATAAATTATCTGGTAATTGAAAGGTTTTTTTTTATTGCAACTAATTAATTTGAACTATTACATGGCAATCATTTGATCAAAAAAAAGTCTGCCAAAAATTAAAAATTAATTTTATTTTTAATACCCTTTTATTAGCGCGGGTTGTATGTATGTAATGGAGTCTTAGATTTTCACCGGTTGCCCGAAGTCTGATCAACTTGAAACTTTGCAGACGTGTCAAGGACCGATGACAATGCAATAATTTGATAACAGTTTCCCATTAGTTTAAAGGTGGGCGTAACTCTGCCCCTAAATGGTTTAATGTATATATCTTCCAAACCGCTAAAGCTAACTCAACCGAAGTTCTTTTAGCCTTTTTCATACGCTGTAAAAATGGGCAAAATCAGATAATAACTACGCCCACTCCCCATATAACAGTTCTATTAAAATATACTAAAAGTGCGATAACTAATGAAATAAATGCGCCATAAGCATTAATTTTCAGAAATACGATGGTAGGGAAGAGCTTTATAGGAGGAGGTTTAAAAATTCCCTTAAAGGGTGTTTTTCTTTAGTTTTTTTAAACTATAATTTATTTCCTTTTTATTTTTAATGAGCACTAGGTTGTGTCTTTCCAGATAGACGTAAGGACAGACAGACATGTGTCATACTCTCGTCATTATAATAAAATCCCGAAATCGATCCCGCGGGACGAGCTGAGACGATTTACCCATGCGCGTCTGTCTGTCTGTGTATACCCAAACTAGTACTCAGTTTTTGAGATATCGATCTGAAATTTTGCACACGTCTTTTTCTCCCCAATAAGCTGCTCATTTGCTGGATCCATCGATATCGGACCATAGCATATAGCTGTCATACGAACTGAAAGCTCAAAATCAAATTCTTGCTTGGAAACTTTTTAATTATGAGGGGTATTATTGCTACAGTGAGTGCAACCGAAGTTAACGTTTTTTCTTGTTTTTTAGTGATATATCTAAAGTCTAGGTTCAATCTAAATATGTTAAAACGCGGATCACATCTTAGAGAAAATGTATCGGTTTGTTCAATTGTATATAAGTATGTATAATATATGGATGAGAAAAATATTGCAGAGAAATAAATAATTGATTACGTAAGTTTAAGAAGTCCGTCAACATTTGAAAACGCGTTAATAGTTTGCACGAAAAGTTGAATTTATCCTGCTTAATTATACTCTCAGAAATTACTCAAAAGTGATCAGCCTAAAGTGCAAAAAGTACTAATGAAGTCTTAAAGAATTTTTTCCATATCGCCAATCACAAATCGTGCAAGAAGAACATGTTGTTGTTATAGTATTATAGAGTACTAAACTACTAAACTTTCAACGCAACAGAACTAAAAATTACTAATTTATACCTTTATTCCTATACGACTCGCTTTGCTCCAATTTTTGATGTGTCTTGCTGCTATTCTACAAATGGAAGGTTATAAGGCTTTTAAGTGCACTTCGAACAGCTGATGAGTTTAAGAATGACAATAGCAATTTCAGATTAGATTAAATCGCAGCTTGATATTTTTTGTCGATGAATAATCCCTATTAGAGTAAACACTTTATCTAGACCAGAATTTAAAATTAAACAAATAAAAATAAATTTACCTATAAATATAGTAAATAGATTTTATTGTGATTATTTCATATTGGCTGGAAAACACTTTTTCTTTTAAGCGACTTGATATTGAATAAAGGCAACGGTTTCTTTGTTTGCTGCTTGGTTTTATAGGCGTTTAAAATATTTTGTTTGTATTTGCCAAAAATAGCTTTGGGGTTGATTTGCACGTATTTATCTTCGCTGCAATTCCATAATCTTGTGATACGCTCTTCATCATGGGGTTCATTCACCACGTTCAGGTGTAAATCTGCTGTATGCGTATAGCCTGTTATATGTGTTATTGATGATCCTTTGAACTTCTCTAAATCAACATTGCGAAATTTTTCTGCTACAAATGAGGAAATTTTGTAGATATTGTAAGAATTACATTTGGCTATTAATTCATCAAGTGTCAACGCTTGGTTATCTTCACTTACATCTTTTTTAGATTTATTCGGCTTTTCGGTCGTTCGCTCAGCGTCGATTTTGCTGTTTAGGATGTCTGGAGTTTCAGCTGTACTGGGTTGCTTCGTATTTTCTACCCGGTTTTCTCGCTTTTTTGACTTTTTATTTTTCTTTACCTTAATATGACCGCCTGTTTCTACTTCTGCAGAGTTTTCCGACTGTGAGGTGTGTTCAGGTATCTCTGATGGTGTTGGAGCTTCATAGCCTACAATTATCACATCGTCGTCTTCTTGTGATCGCTCACTTTTACTTTTCTTTGATTTCTTTTTCTTCTTAGCCGGCTCCGATTCGAAAATTTCTACTTCCTTATTTTCAGCTATAATTTCGTTTTGGTTTGTGTGTTGCTCTATTTCATTTTTTTTGGACTTCTTCTTTTTTTTCTTTTTTGGAACATGAACATTCTCGATGTCTGCTTCATCCGTCAAATCTACAGTATCTATTATAGCCCTGTCTATCTTCTTTTGTGTATCCTTTTTAGATATTGGCAGGTTATCAATTGCTTCCATTTTGATCCCGTTGAAAGGTTTTCCATTCTCTACAATGATATCTTCAGTATTTCTATTTCTATTTTTCTTTTTATAATTTTCTGTTTTCACCACAACTTCTAAAACTGCACTCTCTTCAACTTCTTTAAGAGAATTTGGTTCTGTGGATGGGCTTACAGCCTCAACTGATTCTCTTTCAAGTTTCCTCTTTTTAGATTTCTTATTGTTTACTGTAGGTTTATAATCTTGTACTTCAATTATTCTAGCTTTGGGTTGCTCATTGCTATTAGTATTGTTGTCCTGCTTCTGTTTATTTTTCAACGCATCCATTTTTTGTTTAAAGTAATCACTCACCGATAGACCCGTGCTAATTGTTTGTACGCCAGCAAAATTTGCTTTCATTTCTTTTTCTTCAGTATCTGTGGTTTTCAAATTTTCATCATCTTCTTTCGTCATTACAGCTGTGAGCTTTGTATAAACACTATCAGCTTGTTCCGTTTCAACAACTTTTTTGCCAAAAATATTTGCAAGATCTTTTTCACTATATTGTGCTATATCTTTTCCTTTCGTGAACTTCTTGTAATGTACTCGTGCTTTACTTAGCTTTGACTTCTGTTCCAACGATATACCACTAATTTTATCCTTTAACTTTTCTACTCTCGATTCAGGTGCAAATCCAAACCCCACTCTTGGAGTGTCCTCGTCAGAAGCACTTTCCTTATCTTCAGTAGCTTTCTCATTGTCCTCATCATCGCCATTTAATGCCTTCAGCAGTCCATTAAAATCTTGTTCATGTTGCGTCCAATGGTCATCACGATCTTCAAATCCCAGACCTTCATTGGTGTTTCGCATACGCACACGCACAAAATCCTGACAACCGTTCTCATTAGCACCAAGACCTTTTCCCTTGGACCAGCCCATTTTCTCCAACATTTTCGTACCAAAACGCGTCTCATCTAAACAATATTGAATATTAGTTTCAAAATTGAAAAAATTGTGTTTTTATTAAACAAATACCTTCGTATAACGCCTTGCCTCGCGGTGTTAAATTATACCGCTTTCGCTGTCGAGGTTCAGCTAGCATAGCCATCTTTTATAATAATTATACAACTTCATGCAATATTTAAATAAAATTATATTTAACTATATATTTACGATGCTTTAAAAGAATTGAAAAATATTCACAAACAAAAAAGAACGTTGCTGTCAACCACATGTGTAAAGTGTATGTTCAGTGTTGTTAATTTTATTGCTCATCAACAGCTCTCAATACTTTAATACATGTCAAGCCGTGTTAAAATTCATTAAAAAAGTACGCTGTGAATAGTTATTCATTGAGAACTTTTATTAGCAGTTTATTAAACAAATATGGTGGAAATTTTGAAAACAATCATATTATGAAAATGTGAATAAGTGTTTACATAGATAAACAGGTTTATGGGGACAGCCCCTTATATTTCAGACATCAATAGTACACAGTGAACATACCGTAGTTGCTGATAACAGCTGATGTGCTGTACTTGTTTTTGTTAAGTTAATTTAATTAATTAGCCAATAATCTAGTGCTAATGTTAGTGAGTTGATAAAGTGAAAAGCAAATTATAATGGAAGAAAACGGAAAAGTTGACAAAATTATATCGCAGGCAACACAATGGAGTTTCGAAGGCGATTGCTCCTTGCTCGCCTGGATGCAAGAGCTTTCACAGGTAAACAATTCATTTATCGAAAATACGCCTTATAAAATATATACTTATGTTATCGTATATGTAAATGTCTTGGCAGCATATAGAACAACGAGCGACCACAACCAATGATGCATTACAACAATTAAACATAAATGTTAATCGCACTGCAATAGCATTGGATAATGCGGCCAATAGTTTAACTGCACTACAGTATACGCAATTTGTCGAGAGTCGCTGCCATGATGACGACGAGACACAAACCAATATAAAGGAAGCGGAAGCGGGAGCAGTGGCCACAGTATGCGTTTTTATGGCTATTTCTTAATTAAATATGTGTACACTAAAACTTAAGTCATTACAGTCCAGTGTAAAAACAAAGTCGCCCAAAGAGGTGATGGAAATCTTTCTGCAGAAAAATCTGCAAATGTTACACAGTTGTCATGAGAAGTATGCGCTCGACTTTGAAGACTCCGATGAGGATGACAACACAAACTCTCATAAGTATGCTCTAATAAAATTATTTAATTAAAGTATATTGTCAATGTATTACACCAATGACGCAGCTACATTTATCAACCGAAGAATCCCTATAATGATGCTTTGCTGCCACATATCTACGGCAGTAAATTATGGAAGGAACACTGGCATGTAGGACTTTGTGATGGTTCCAACGAGTACTCGGGCGATGAAGCATCTGATGCTTTCTCCGAAACCTCCAGTTCCTCAGCTGCCGATAATGAATCATATGAGAGCAATACAGCAAATCTGTCCGAATGGGCTTCGAGCACTTCCATACCAATTGAGCATAAACATCCAGCCTTGATGGTCGGTCAAAAAGAACACGCATTACCTGCTTCAGCAACGGCTGCCGCACGAAACAAACACTTGCCAAGCAACGATGATAGCGACACCTGCTCTACAACGTCTCGAAGCACCACAACAAATCCGCCATTTAGAACGCGTGAGCACGATTTATTTGCTACTTTACGCCATGATACATCAATCACCAGTACATCTACATCGTCATCGCCACAGCAACATATTGCTGCCACAATTCAAGCTCAACGCGTCTCAGCGCCGATATCCTCAACGATAGCACCATTCTTTGATGCTACACCACCCACAGATATTTTCGCTGATGCGGCTATGGAGCCACAACCGAACAGACGTAATGAAAATGAAACAACACAAAAATCAGCTGTCGGTCAAATTAAACGTAAACCTGTGAACTTATTCGATGACGATGATTTCAATTCATTCATGACAGAGGTCGTAGATAAGGCGCAAACGAAAGTTGCACAAAAACAACAACAACAACCGCCGCAAATGCCTGTGTCGGCCAGTAACAGTTTGCCTTCTGGAAGTGCGAACAATTTGCCACCCCCAAGAACAGTAGACTTATTTGCTGAACCACCAAGCATTAAAACGCCAACAACAAACGAAGCAACTTCGCCAATAGCAATTGAAAAACCAAAAGAAACCTCAACCCGAAAACCGGTAAATCTATTCGACAGTCCCGAAGGTAGCCCACAAAGTGATTCGCTCTTCACGGCCAATGATAAAAAGGCCGAGCCGGTTATTGAAAAGCCGAAAGACATAACGCCAACTGCTGCGAAGCCTAGCATCACTGCTAAGTCGCTGTTTGACGATGACGACGATGATGATGACTTCCTAAATGTGTTTGGTGCAAAAAAGTTAAATCTGCCGCAGCGCTCGACAGGCAAAACGCTGCTCTTCGACGACGATAATGAGGAAGTAACACGACAACCTATGAATACTCGAACAACAAGCAACCTTTTCGATGACACACCACCTGCTGAAGACTTTGCACCCACTACGGCAATATTTAAGGAAAACAACAACAACAACAAAACGAACAATAGCTACACAGTTAACGGTAGTGTTGGTAGCGCGGTGCAGGAAAATAATGCAACACCGAGCTTTGAAGCTGAAGTTTCGCGAAACATGACAACAACAACTGTAACTTCAACGAATTCGATTTCGAACTCACAGGTAAATTTATATAGTTAAAGTATGAGGAACTCTTTTACAAATATTTTAATTATGTATATTTGCAGTTGGCGCATTCGCCACCGGTGAACCCCGTTAGTAGGCCCTTTAGCGCTAATCTCTTCGCTGATGATGAAAATGATGATTTAGATGAACTCTTTAGTAAAAAGTCCACAAAGCAACAACCAGCCAAAACTGCTAATAATGAGCCAAATAAAAATGTGCATGAAAAGGTGGCAACCACGAAACCAATGACAAATGCATCTGCGCCGCAGAAGAAATCCCTCTTCGGAGACGACTTGGTAGACGATGATGATGATATTTTATTCGGCAAGCCTACGAAATTTGATGAAAATAAAGCTTCTCTCCGCGTGGAGAATCGCACGGGCGGCATTCTCAAAAGCGCATCACTTTTTGGTGATGATTTCGATGATGAAGCCGATGACTTATTTGGTGTCACATCAGCCAAGAAAGTAATCACCAGTACAGCAGTTAGTAAAGATGAACCGGAGATTGCTTCTATCAAAGACGAGATGACGCAAGTTTTGGTGGAGCAAAAAGAAAACAAGTCTTCGATTCAGCAGTCAACGGAAACGGAAGTAGTTGGAGCTGTGAAGAACGTCAGTCCACAAAAATCCTTATTCGAATATGATGATTTGGCAAACGCGTTATCAGACGTGGACAAGGTCAAAGAAGACAGCAATGATATTATGAATGAAGTAAAGGTGCTTGCTTCTCATGTTGAAAAAGAGAGTGCAGAGTTGAAGCCGCCAGCAGTTAATGGACTTTTTGGTGAGAATGTTGCAGATGTGAGCAAAAAGACGCCGAAGACACTAATTTCTGACGTCACAGCGGAACAATTTGTCGACAATGCTGAAGATAATGTCGAAAATTTAAAGACGACCTTAGCTGAGGTGAAAAATTCCACGGTGGACACATTGAGTAGCATTCAAAAGAGTACACCAAACAAAGAAGAGATTAAAGAAGTTGAAACATTTGCAGAAACTTGGAAGCACGATGAGAATAACGCTGAAAATCAGCTGGATCCGATATCGGAGCACACTGCAGAGCAGCCTGAAAAACTCGAAACTCCACTACACACCTCGAAACCAATAGAAGAGGTTGTTGACCTTACGGCTGATACAATGCAAGACAGAGAGAACACAGCTGGCCAACAAAAATATGCCTCCATCTTTCTTGATGAACCACCCGATGATGATGACTTCTTTACAACACTCAGCAATAACACGAAACCGTTATCTGTCTCGAAACTAACGCTCGATTTGGAAAGTGATTTCTATGAACCAGCCTTGCCACAAGTACCGAATTCCGCTAGAACTACAACAACTGCAACGACAACAAATACACAGGCAGGCGCTAGTGATTACGGTGGTTTACGTCTATTTAGTGAAATTCCACCAGACGACGACGACGATGAGGAAGATGATTTTAATTTTAATTCGTCCAAACACTCGAAACAAGCCGCAGATAACGGCGCTGGCGTCAATCAGCGGTTACATAGTGTTTTCTATGATGATTTCACAGAGACTTTGGAGGCCGTGCAGCAAATTAAGGAGAATAAAATAGCGGCGCATGCGTTGTTTGATGACGAACCGCCACCGGTTGAAGAGCCATTCGCTGTTGGAGCAGTAGAGACGCTGAAAAAGTTAGTGGAAACTACAACAGCCGCAAAAGCGGATACTCATAAGAGTGAAATTGGACAAGAGAAGGGGTACAGTAAAGCTGAAAGCTCGAAAGATGTCACAGATCGCGCAATGCCAAAGCTGGAAGGCACTGCAATTGCCACTGCGCCAGAGAAACCACGTGCTACCGCTGGTAAATTGCAAATGCCAAATATCAAGATTAATGTACAAGCGCTGCTGCCCGGCGGTGGCGGCAGACCAAGCTTCAAAAAGTCTCCAACCACGCCAGCAGACGCCACACATACAGCTGCAACAAGTGAAATTTCCAAACTGCATCCAGCTGCCGATTTGAGTAAAGCAACCTCGAACGCAAGCTTAAAATCAACGGTATCCACTGAATCAGCAAACGAGAGCTTGCTCTCGAGCGTTTGCAAAACACGCGTGCGCGCGCCAGCCGGCAGGCGACCGTCAACGCGTAGGGCGCGTCAAGAAAACTATCGTCAATCGCTCGTCGCGGAGAAGGCAGACCACATAGTGTTGGATGCCGATTTCGAAGCTGCGTCTAGCAGCAACCAAATAACTCCAAAGCCAACGTATCAAATTGAAAATGAAAGCAGGACTGTACCAGCAACGTCAAGCAGCGTTGTCAAAGCGCTAGCAAACATTAGTATTCCTAAGCCAACAAACTTATTCTTAGACGAAAACGCTGACGTCGACGACTACGACACACTATTTAAGCCTACGCCGACTACCAGCGCACAAACTAGCAATAATGTCAAGCAGGCGTTGATAATAAAGACAACGAATGACTTAAGAGAGCAAGGTCCGGCTCTGCAAGCGAACTCAACACGAGAGACAACAAAAAGTAATGTTGATTTCGGCGAGAGCGATGGAGACGATGACGACGATCTGTTTAAAAGCGCGCGGATCGCGCCCGCTAGCGCAGCGCTGAAGCCAGTGAACAACAGCAAAGCAGCAATCATAACAACTCCAACCACACAAAGTGTACCACCAACGATGCCTGCAACAAAATCGCTTTTCGCCAATACGCCAAGTGAAGATTCCGATGATGAACTCTTCAAAAGCAGCAAATCACTACTAAGCACAGCCACACGAACAACCACGAAGGTCGCAAGTCCGCTAACAACCACAGCAACACCAGCAGCGTCAGCAAGCCGCGCAACTGTTGAGCCGAAGACAAAAACCGAAGGCAAATTGGACTCGATTTTTGGTAGCGACGATGAAGACGATGATTTTTTGTCGCAACTTAAGCCCAAAAATAAAACAACAACGAGCTTGTTAACAGCAAGCGCGGTAAGTTCGGCGAAGCCGTCATCTTCGGGCAGCGCTGGCCTATTTAGTGATATCGAAAGTGATGAAGATGATCTGTTTGGCGCCAAGAGCAAGACAAAACCGAGTAAGTTTTAATTTTTATTGAAAATATTATTTTAAAAAATTACTGTTACTTCTATTTTTCAGACACTTTTGGTAAGACGAAAGCAGCTACAACAACTATGGCGTCCACCAGCAACAAACAAAAGCCAATAACAACAAAGCAACAGCCGCTCGACAAGCATAAGACTTTAGCGGATAATCCTTTGGCAGATCTGCTAAATCCATAACAGATCGCTTTGCTTGCTTCGGCGGCCTTCCAGTATCAAATTATCGCTGTAGTGGCGAAGAAATATCAATGAAAGTGCATTAACCGTTAAACACATTTATTTTCCATGTACCTACATTTTATGTCCGTGCATAAGTATTTGGCGAACAAAAAGTTGAAAACTTCTATTGAATTTTTAATTAATTATTTTATGCTTTAATTTTATTTTCTATTATATATACACACATTTACATACCATATGTATGCATACAAAAAAATATTTCTGATATTATATAATATGCATATCTACAAAATAAATTTATTAAAAAAAAAACAATTTTTGGAGTATTAAATGGAAAAATAATAATACATTAGTGTTTAAAACGCATTTCAGACGGACTGTTAATTGAGTCAAGTAGCGGTTCATTTCCTAGCATATTAGTTTAGATAATTTTTTAATTGTCTCAATTAAGGTGGGACATTAGATGCCTATACAATAATTCAGCAATAAAAAAGCTAATACTAAAAAAATGTTATAAAAAAAATTTTATTTAAAAAAACTTTACTTAAAAAAAATAATTAAAAGAAATAAATTAAAAAAGAAAATATATGAAAGTACATTTATCATCAAAATATATAGTCGATTGTTTCTAATTAAATATTTTGAAAATTACCAATCTTTTTTTTATACTAACTAAAACATTTTACAGGACATTTTCGTTTAGCAACTTTTTCAAATAAAAAATTAATAAGCTTTGTTCCAATTGTTCCAATTAAAAAATACTAAAAATAAATTTTAAATAAAAAATATAAAAAATTGTTAGGTAAAAAATTATTGAGTTTTGTTACAACTAAAAAAAAAAATTAAAACACAAAAAAAAATGTTTATGTTTATCAAAAACAAAAATAAGATAAATTTAATTTTTTTTTTTAGTAGTTTTACCTAGATATTATATTACATTACATTTTAAATATAAATTTTTTTTTACTAATTATTCGTTTATTTGCACCTTAATGTCTTACAATAAACTCTTACGTATTTGTATTAACTTGTATGTATGCATGCAAATTGTAGCACTGTATTGACCCAACTTGTATTTTAGTAATCAATGAGTTAGTTTGCTCTTTGGTTGTCGTTATTACTTCTATTGCTAACGGTAACGTACTGTCAACGTTGATTTGCCCTACATTAATACAATTTTATTGTATATTTTTAGTAAAAGACCAATAAAATGTTTTAAAAATGTTATCTAAATTTCAAAAAGTGTTAAAAAATAAATTAAAATATTTTAAAAGTAAAATCTGAATATGTTTTACCCAGGAACAACAGTTTTAAAAAATATATATTATTTTCAAAAGTTACAAATTATTTCCAAAAATGATTTAATTAGTAATTAAAATAAATAAAAATTAAAAATGTAATATTTGCAATGAAAAATTTTTACAAATCACCAAGAAATTACAAAATTTTGTTGAAAATTAATTCAATTTATAAAAAGTATAACTTTATTATTATCAACTATTTTCATTAAAACACATTTAGTTTCAAATTATAACTGTTTATTATTTGTTATTAATTTTTTTTTGTATTTTGGTTATCATTTTATTTTATTGCATTCAAAATAAGACGTTCTAGATATCACTTTAATTTGGATCATTATTTATTTTTGTAGACAATTTGCTAATTGATAACATAAAATGGATCTCTCAGACGCTGCTCATTTGGAACGACCAATATCCGACCACTATAACATATAGCTGCCATACTAACTGTCCGATGAAAATCAAGTTCTTGTAAGGAAACTTTTGTATTTGTGAAGGGTATTATGACTTTGGAGCAACCAAAGTTAACGTTTTCTCTTGTTTATTTTAAAAATATTTTAATTTATTTAATTATTTTTTTATTACAACATTTTTTTATATTGTACTTATTAAAGGCCTGAATTCAACAAAAAAAAATATGTTTGCTTTATTAAATTCTTTTATTTAATTTTAATTATTAGTTTATTTGATATATTTGCTTTAAATATTATTTTTAAAATATCTTTTAAAATATTTTATATTTTGTACAACTTTTATTTAAAAAATATTTGTTTGTATTATTATTTTATTTTTAAATAAATTTTTTATTATAATTTTATAAATTAAATTTAAGTTTTTTCAAATGTTATATTTACTTTTTTTTATGCATAAAACATTATCAATAATCTATTTCAATCAAATATTTCTTTTTTCATTCATTTATTTATTATTTTTATTTTCCCAGCAAATCTTTAAAATTGTTTTATATGTACAATATATAATTTAAAATATATTTATTTTTGTTCTCTTCTTTCTTCTTTTTCAAATCACTTATTGATATTTTTCAGTTTTTTAAATTTATTTTATTTCTTTCATTTAACGATTTATTCCCCATCATTTATGTACTTTTCGTAGTTAAAAAAGAGCATACATTTTTTATGATTTATTATTTTTTAATATTTACCAAAAAATATTTTTTTGTTATATTTTTTCAATTTTTTTATTAAAAAAAAATATTTTGAAATTTTTATATTTATTTCAATATTAAATTTTTTTTCGTGTTATTATTTATTCCAGTTAATTTATACAAATACATTTTTATTTGTGTTAATTATTATAATTTTATAAAATTTGTATACATAACCTCAATAATTTATATAGTCAATCAGTGCTTATGTGGCTTAAGCCCAAATAACTATACACTCGTACTCGTACTAATCCTAAATATTAAAATGTAATGTAAAATGTAACTTAACCTCAAACTATAAACTAAAGTAAACATTGACTCATTTTCTAGCACCTAAAAACATAACTTACAAAAAAATATCTCCTGTGCGCCTACAGCGCCACATCGCGATATTTCCGATAATCGTCGGACTCATTGCCGAGCGACAGTTTACTGTTCGCCATTATGTAGGGATTCGTGTAATTCGCATAGTCGAAGCCGCCATAGTACTGCAGCTGCTGTGAGTTGCGCCGCGGCAGAGGTTGCGCCAACACGGTGCCCGAGAACGGACCCACCGCCGAGCCACTCGACGGACGCCGATAAACGCCTGTGCCATGCACCGGATTATTCAGATAACCGCTTAGCATGGCCAAGTAGTATTGTTGTTGTTGTGTGTAGTTTTGCAACAGATTGTTGCCATAGGCGGCCAGCTCGTTTTGCACCTTCGTAATGCCATCCAAATTCTCCAGCGAAATGCAGTTGCGTGTCAACTTTCCCGACGACGACGCTTGCGCGGACTTCTCTGGCGAGCGTTGACGCTGTTGCGGCGGTGTGGGCAACTTCGGCTCAATCGAACAGTAGATGGGATCGTTCACTGAACCGATGACCGACGGTGGGGGCTGGTGCTTATTCGAGTCCTGTATGCTATTCTTTAGGTCGTCAATGGTGATGTTGAAATATTTGCCGTTTTTGTCTTCCGTGTCGAGCACGTAGCGCGGATTATACATACCGGGAAGCGTGCAGCGCAAATCCATGAGCGATTGGGCGCGATTGCCGGCTGAAACGGAAACGAAAAAATGCGCAAAAGTAATTAATATAATTTTGTGGTTTTTGTTATTTTTTGTTGTTTTGTGTTGGTTGTGGCGTCACTCACCGTTGCGCATCTGCACGCCGCTACCGTTGTGACCATAAGCGTGGCCGTTGAACTGTTGCATGTACTGTGGCATGAAGATCGCCGCATTGAATTCGTTTTGTGAGCCAAACAACGGATTATTGTTGTTGTACATGTTTAGGCCTTGCGCCTGCGAGCCCGCCATATTGATCTTGGTTGGTTCGCTCACCTCGTAGCCAGCATTCTCGAAAGCGCCACTCTGCCGCCGTTTGCTGGCGCGTCGCGAGTCGGCCTTCACGATCGGCACGCTCGGCGGTGGCGTCTGCAGCTGGAGGCGTGTGGCCAAGCCTTGCAGTTGTGTCAGCACCTGTGTCTCGCGACGCCATCTGCGTATGATGAGGAGGAGTAGTTAATAGATTAAATGTATGCATACAAAAGACTTAAGCGACGAACTTCAAGTCAAAAATGAAAAAAGAAGCGAGAAGAAATATTTTTATGCTCCAAAATGCGTGAGCGCGCTACTTATTATGCATGCACATACTATTAGTTAACAAAAGCAACAACAACAATCATTATTTCGATCGAAAATGTAACGCACGAAAAAACTTCAACGCGTTTTGCTGCCCAACTCCATTGAAAAGCTCTGGAAATCAGCATTTTAATTGCACTTGTACTTTCCTACCTAGAGCTCACTGCTCTTTGGCAGACGCAACCAAACGCAAAATTGAAGAAATAAAATACAAATATTTAAATACAATTTAAATCAACTGCAAACATCCGCGGAGTGAAAATTCACATAAATTTTTACGTGCCGTGATTTTGCAGTCACTTTCTTTGGTCTCATGTGCTCAGCTTAAGTAGAGTTTAATTATTATTCTCATCAAAGATTAAAAAAATGTATTTTTGACGGTTTCTTTTTACAATAGATAAAGTAAAAAATTGTTACATTGAAATCGTTTAATTAAATATCTTTTCAAATTTTAGCGACAATAATTTGAAAATAATAATAATAAAATTGTTTTATATATATTTTTTATGCGTAAAATATTATTAATTTTATTTTAATTATTTATTTCTTGTGATTTAGTTATACTTACTCTTTCAAATTATTTAATTTACAGTAATTTTATTGTAATTGCATTTATTTTTGTCTTTATTATTTTTAAATTTATTTATATATTTTATTTTATATTTAATTTTTATACAGTTATATTATATATTTATCTTTATTTAAAGCTTCATTTTTTTCGTTCATTGTTTTATTTTATCTCCATTTTATACTTTTAATATTTATATACTCTCGCAACCTGTTGCTACAGAGTATAATAGTTTTGTGTACCTAACGGTTGTTTGTATCACCTAAAACTAATCGAGTTAGTTATAGGGTTATGTATATATAAATTATCAGGATGAAGAGACGACTTGAAATCCGGGTGATGTCTGTCCGTCCGTCCGTGCAAGCTCTAACTTGAGTAAAAATTGAGATATCTTTATGAAACTTGGTAGACATGTTTTTTGGTACTGTAAGACGGTTGGTATTGCAGATGCGCGTAATCGGACTACTGCCACGCCCACAAAACGCCATTAGTCAAAAACAAATAAATTGCCATAACTAAGCTAGGCAATAAGATACAAGACTGTTATTTGGTATACAGGATCACATTAGTGAGGGACATCTGCTGTTTATATTTTTGTTTAAAGTGGGCGTGGTCCCGCCCTGTAATAGGTTCGATGTGCATATCTTCTAAACCGCTAAAACTATAAGAACAAAATTCACTGGAAGTAAATGTTTAGCACCTCTACCCAAAGTGTGAAAATGGGTGAAATGGGTGACAACCCCGCCCACTTCCCATATAACGGTACTGTTAAAAAATACTAAAAGCGCGATAAATCAAGCACTAAATACACCAGAGACATTATATATTATCTCTGGGATGATATGAGATGAATTTCTAGCAACCGCGATCAAAATTAGACAGTGGGTTTGACACCGCCCACTTTTAGACGAAAATCCATATCTTGGGAACTGCCTGACCGATTTCAATCAAGCTTGGTACATAATATTATTTTCATATTTCTATATTATAGTACCAAAAATGGGATTACAACCACGCCTATTTCCCATATAACACCATTTTAAATTCCACCTGATTCTTTCACTTTCCACTATGCAAATCGAGCAACAATGATTATAAAATGGTCGGTTAGCCTCGAACTTAGAACTTCCTTACTTGTTTTTTTTAATTATCAATGAATTGTTGGCGGATAACATAAATTTATTAGATGGAATTCGCTTTCGGGTTGTTCGAAACACCTTAGACAATGGTGATGTTCTCAGGCGAGTTACCACTCCCATAAAGTAAGAAAAACGCTTCATTTAAAAATGTGGATGTCTTTAAAAAGATGAAGAGGTCCTAACAATGCTTCCTCATGGCCAAATATAGTCGAAATGTTAGGAAAAGAAACGAAATGTGGAGTTGTTAGACACACGCATACCCCAAAATAGAGAAAATATCCGATTTCAATTTAAGAGTAAAGCAAACATTAACTCAAAACGAAAAATATACCAAATTTTTCGATTTGCACATACCTCTTTCAGCACCAACAGCGTACGTTGCTGACTTTAAAATTTCCCACAGCGGTCTCCCACCTCCTTCACTTACACACCTGTCAATCATTTGACTTGCATAAATAAACACATAAATATGTATGTATGTATGCCTACATATGTGTATATGAGCTTTCGTGATTAAAGCATGTAAAATATTCGCAACCTTTTATTTATTTCACCGCCAGTAAAGCGGTTGCATGCCACAACACCTGCCGGCGAACCTGATTCCTAGACCAGTTGCAAAATGTGGGTTAAAAGCGAGTTTCGGCAAGGTCGAAAGTAAAATTTGAATGCTCACTGTGATTATGAAGTTACACGCTTTTTAAAGTGACTAAAGGTTGTTGTTGCCTTTTGTTGTTGTTGTTGTGCAGTGGTTTTTTGATTAAAAGTGTTATTCATAGTTTAAACTTTTGCTCTTACCTTATACCGGTTGGTATCACACAAATTAACGCAAAGCAATTTATCACCAGTCTTACGAGGTAGGAAATGAGCTCAGTGAGTCCATGCACCGATTGTAGGCCCTGTGAAAAAAGAGAAGTTATAAACGAAAATTGAAAAAGTGAAAAGGGAAATGAATGAAATCTACATTTTAAGTGCAAATAATTATAAGCAGCGGCGTAGTCAGAGGAGGGTTGTCTATTTTTGGGGGTTTGGTTGCCCCTGGATTAAAAATTTAAGTAACTTCATAAAATTCCATTTAAAACTTGTTTGACTCAGTCGTGATTTGAATTCTTATTTTTCTGGTGTACCGCTCCTCAAGCTCTTCTTTACTCCAAAACTGTCAAAAAAGACCAGGGATCATCAGTTTGCTAGTTTTCTGATATAGAGGTCTTGAGGGCACAAAAAATTTGACTTAAAACGGTCAGAGAATACCGGCGAATACCTAAACTCAACAGTTAAATCGCACAGAATATTATTTAAATGCATTTTTGGCAATATATCTGGCATCTCAAACAAATTAGATTTCAATCGTATGTGGGATCTTGACAAATTATATTATACTTTATAACTTCCAGTAAGTTCATGCTAGTGAACTCTCCTAGTCGTAAAATAAAAATATAACTTTTTTTTATTCAATAAAAAAGGAAAACAGAAATTATAACGGTAAAGAAGATCCACATATGAAAAAAAATGAAAATAGCTTATGTCTTCAGTCATTGCTTGTACCATCTTAAAGTTAAACAGCATGTTTCCTATATGCTCCTTTCAAACTACGCCACTGAAAAATAATTAGCACAGTGACGAGAAGATAAAATTCATGAAAAAAACTGTCATATTTAAATTATTTATAGTAACAATATTTTAAATTTATCTCCGCATTACTTTAACTTCTCTTCTTTTCTCTTCTTCCGTACGCAAATAATAAGTAAAAATATGTAAATATGTTTGTATGTACGTATCTTACCCAGTGCTGTGTTGTCATAATCATGACAAATATCAGTTCCGGTATTGAAAGTAGCCCAATAATGACTGACCATGCGAATAGACCCCACGGTAAACCGGTGACCAGTCCGTGTATGAGTATTGTTGTTGCCACAAAAACTATGAAGAATTGTGTGCAAAGAATATACGATGACATAGGCAAATCGCCATGTGCTTCCAATATCCAAGAGACTTCGCAGGAGAACGCACCCAAATAGACGATCTGGTAGAAAATTATGAGAGATTAGAGATTTTGTGAGCAGAAATATGTATGTCAATTAATGAAAGTATGTAAAAAAACTAAGGTGGAGCAAAGTTCGGTTGGAACTGAAACTTTGCTTTTTTTCAAAAGACATTCTCTCTTATATTTGGTGTTGCTTAAATCGTGCATATTTTTATATTATTTATTTTCTGTTGTATTGTTGACTAACGATTAAATAAAGAAAATAAAATAAAATATAAAATTTATAAAATATTACAAAGTAAAATAATATAAATAATAAAATAATATAATAAAAAAATTTTATTGTTATCAAATAAATTAAATTAAAATTAAGCAAAAATTAATAATTAAATTAAAATAAAAAGAAAAAGAATAAAGTAAACTAAAATCAAATTAAATGAAACAAAAAAATATAAAGAATTAAATAAAATTAAAAAAAAAAATAATAATAATAGAAAATAAATGAAAGAAGTACGGAAGATCTAAGTTCGGGTGTGAGCGAATATTTTATACTCTCGCAATTTGTAGGGATTAAAGCCGGGCAAATACCTTTAAGTGTTGGAAGAACTTCAAATGTGGCGAAAGAATTAAACATAAATTTATTATATGGGGTATATGAAGAAAATATCAAATAAAGGATCGGAAATCAGTCTTTGGTCTAACATATGGGCAGATCTGGACTGATAGCATTACTGTTTGACATTACCCGAGGAAATGTTTCCATCAAATTTCGTGAAAGTAATTCAAACACTGACCGACGTATCGGGCATAAAGTCTGCTAGAATAACGAAAATCATTATATATATTATTTTTGCTAAGATATTTTACATATTGACCGAAATATAAAGACAATCGGAGATCTGAACTTCTTATATTAGGTATATGAGAGTTAGAGTTAGTATTAAACCGATTTTATCCAGTTTTGGTATTATGACATATTGCCAAATAAAAAATATGATCTATGAGTTTCATTAAGGTACCAAACAAAGTGAGCGATACATATGGTATAAATTCAACCGGAAGTTTGAAAATCCTTATGTTAGGTGAATGAGGGCTAAGAGTAGTTTGGAACCGATTTTAGCTATTTTAGACACGAGTGTACATTATTATCAGAAAAATATTATCTCTGAATTTCTATAATATATTTCAGATACATATCTATTTTTATAGTAAAATATATGTTATTGCCACTGGGGTCCACATATTTAGTATCTGGAGGCTTGAAGTTATCGACCGATTTCGTAAACTTTTGACGTAAGATACCATGCCCTCAGGGTACTCTTTGTGCTTTTATTTTTCCTTACCCTTATATTTATTCCAATATTTTCCTTGGTGATTTATTAATATAATCTAAAGTGAAAGAATCATATGGAATTTAAAATTGCGCAGTAGGCGTGATTGTTTTCTTATTTTCGCAAGGTAACTTACGAATGTCGCAATAATGTTGCGCATCAAGTTTGGTTGAAATTTTTCAATTAGTTCCTCGATTTGAAATCTTTTCGAACCAATTCGGGTGTAAAATTTAATGTCTCTGACGCATTTATTTATTGAAATATGGCACATTTAGTAGTTCTCTACGTAACCGTTACATGGGGAATGGGCAAAGTTATAAACCGATAAAATTTGCCGTGAGCAAGCAGATGGGGACACGGATTTCAACTCGTCTCGTCCTCCTGTTCTTCTGTATAAATGTACAATATATATAACCCAATATATATCTCGATTGATTTTGGGTGCTACAAACAACCGTTAGGTCGACAAAATTATCATACTCTGTAGCAATATGTTGCGAGAGTATAAAACGATTTATTAAATATCAATTTATTATTAATAAAAGCAATAGAAATGAATTGAAAAAATAAAAAAATAGATAAATAATAATATTAAAAGAAGGAGAAAAAATAAATTAGAATAAAATTAAATTATATTAATTAAATATGTAATATATAATAAGGAAACAATTCAGTTTAACTGTTAAAAAAAAAAAGAAAATGTTAAAATTAATATCAAAAATTTCACAATTCTAGTATAGATTATGTAAATTAAAAATTGTTTAAAGGAAGATAAAAAAAAAATTAATAACTAATAAAAACACTAATTAAATTTAGCCTATAAAAAATTTTATTTTAATTTAAAAGTTTAATTAAAAAATATTTTCTTTTTAATTACAATAAAAAACATATATAATAAAAGAAAATAAAAGTTATTAATTAACAAATATTTTCACACCAAATATAATTATCATGTATTTAAATCAACATTATTAAACAAATAACGGCATTGTAGGTAATAACGCCAGTCATGCAATGACAGCTGGCAACAAAGATTCCAGCAAACATTAACAAACAAAATAACAAAATCAACGTGAGAAAGCGAAAGTAAAACGCTCAATCAAACAATTAAGCGGCCAATCAAATGGAGAGAAAAACTTAATTTTTCAATGTTACATATTTAATTGTTGTCTAACTGATTTTACATACATAGATATGCGCGCTGGCAATGCTACGGCTATCTATTACACAATGCGAGTACTGTTATTATTGTTGTTGTTGTGCATTTATTTTGATTGTTTACATTTACCATGCTTATTTGCGTAAATAGCGGTAATTATATGGCAACTGTTGATTGCTATTTGTATGTTTTTGTGTGTGTTTTGTTTGGGATGTATTTGAGCTGTTTGCCAATAAGCAAAGAAATTACAAAAGCAACAATTTTTTCCGTTTTCATTTACGTTATTTTCACTGCTTCACATTAACTTTGTTTGTTGTTTTTGTTATTTTGTTTAATGTGTTTTTTTTTTGTGTTGCCAATTATTTCTTATCGTTTTGTTTACTTTGGCTTCTTGTTGTAATTGTAATTATTGCTATTAATTCTCACAGCTTACACCTGAAACCAACGTTTAAATGCCACTTACCGCCATACATCTCAAGCCAACGGAAATGTCTAAACAAACAAAACACTTTCCACACATGCCGACAGCGCTATATATGCATATCTATGTGCATAAAATTTATACATGTGTGTGTGTGTGTGTGTTTGTCACTTACCAGTAGCAATCCGGCTGCCACACAGCAAATCATAAATAAATTGGCCTTTATGAAGCGCTCCATTATTTGATCATTCCAAAATGCTTGTATGCTATTTGTATTGTTGTTGTTGTAGCTGCCGTTGACTTTACTCTCGTACTGCAGCGTTTCACCGATGGCCTTTTCATAATTCATTTTGTTGTTGTTGTGGTTTTTTGAATATAAAAATTGTCAATTCAACAGAAGCAAAGTTTGTCATATACAACTATATATCTATATATAAATATATGTACGTTTGTATGTATGTATGTATGTATATATGTATGCTGAGACTATATGAAAATCAATAACGGCATAAAAAGCATAAAACGCGTCTCTCGGCTAAGCTTATATTGAATGCTGTGCGAATGTTCAAGGCGTTTGAGTGTGTCTTGGGCGTTCTTTGAGCATTGAGTGTTTTCGTTTCAGTTGAGTCGTTGATTGAGAGAAGTCGTTCGTTGAGGTCAACACTACCAATTGTTGTAATGCTTTGAATATTTTTTTGGAATGTTATCGCTTTTTTTAATTTGTCTTTTTTTTGGTGTTGTTTTATGTTTGTTATTTTATTTTTTGTCCCGTTATGGTGAATGTGCTTATTCTTATGCTAAATCTGGCCAATATAAATGTTTTTTTGTATGCTAGTTTATGTGGGTATGTATAAAGGCATGGGTTTTTGTGTAATAACCGCTGTTTGATGACACCTTTTCGAAAGCAGCTCGTTTAGTTGTTAGTAATTTCGTTTGAATTAAAGCGTTTTCTGCCGTACATATTTTTATTCTCTTATTATTAACTCCGCTGCCAATAAATGTATTATGATTTTTTAGTATTTTTTGCTCGCCTTATGCGTGTATATTTATGTTTTTGCTTTTTAGTTTCAATGTTAAAAGAAGCGTTTTGTTGCGTTAATCCGCTTACGCTTAACTGGGTATTTGTCTATTCGGTCGGTTTTTGTCGCGCTTCAATGTGCAGTTAATTTTGCTGAAATGAAATGAATTTCCACCATTTTTAATGTTTTGATAGTTTACAACAACAAATGCGTGCATTATTTTTTGTGTGGTGGGGGGTAGAATTAATGCGGAGTTCAATGAGTTTGTAAATAGGTGAGTATAAATACTTATGTATATGCGTGTATACACGTATGTATGTATTTGTGTTTGTATGGGGGATGTATATACGTGTTAATATACAATATAATATTTTTTTATCTATGAATGCAGTGTTATGCATTTTTTTTACAAGCAGGATTACATGGAAATCCATTATAAAAAAATAATAATTTTTAAATAAATAGAAAATATTCTTAAAAATCAAATTAATTTCGAATAATATTGTTTTAATAATAATAAGTGCTTATTACTTTTTTTAATCGCATCGAATAAAAAAATTTAAAAGAAAAAATAAAAGAGAAAATATAGTATATAATAAAATGAAAAAAAAAATAAATAAAAACGAAGTTATTTTTATTTTAGTTGAAAAAATTGCAAAAAAATATAACTGAAACTAAAAAACTAATAATTTTTATATTTCATAAAATCAAAAAAGTATTTCAATGGAAAAACATAGTTAAAAATAATTAATTTGTTAAACGTTAAAACATTCTCTAAAATTATCGTAATTATTAAATATTAAAATAATTATTAAAGAAATTAATTAAATTAATAAATATTTTTAATACAATTTTTTACATTAAAATATAATAAAATTATATTTTATATAATAAAATTATAATATTAATTTTAAGTTTAATTAAAAATGTTTATTTAGCAAATGTAACAAAAAAAAAAAAAAAAAAAATAAACACAAATTAAAAAAAATTAAATTAATTTAAACTTTTTTGTATCATTGTATTATTTATTTCTTGTTTTTGTTTATATATTTCTTGTTGTTGTTTTTATTATAATTAATTTAAATTTAAAATATATTTTTTTAAACTCAATATTCAAAATAAAAAACATGAAAAAAACTAAATTTATAAATAATACTGATTTCTTTTAAAAATAGTCTTTAAAAATATATATATTAAAATATTATAATTGAAAAAAAAAATAGTTTATTAGATACAAATTTTAAATATATTTTGCGAAAAATATATATTTTGTTTGAAAAAAATTTGTAATTAATTTGAAAATAATTTTCAAAAATTGTAATAATATGTTTAAATTATTTTTTTTTATTATATTATGATGTGAAAAATTAAAAAATTGAAGTAAACAGAAAAATTTTTTTTAAAAGTATTCGTTAATAAATAATAAAAGTTTGTGCTTCTCGTCGATTTTATTATTATTGTAGTCACAAAAAAACTCTTCAAAATTTTTGTTGAGTTGATATGTTTGTTTTTTCTATTTGTTATTTCGTTATCGGCAGTCACATACATATGTAAGTAAATTTAAGATCTTCCCTTCTTTTATTTCTCTTTATGAATTCTCGAATTTCATATTACGTCTAGAACTACACAAAAGGTTTGCACAGTACAAATTTGATTCAATCGTAATAACATGTTCAAAAGCAAATTTTAATTCAAATTATTTTTGTTTTTGAGGTTTATAAAATTATCTTTCTGTCATGTGTTCTTAGTATTTTGCACATAACTGTATATCACATTTTTGTCCATTTTCTATCAAACGCAATTGTGCTGATATATATGAATAATATTTCACAAATTCCATAAGCGTCAAACACGCTAACAGAGCAAACAAACAAAATCGCACAAAAGACTTAAGACACGAACTCGTTCATTCTTTGAATTGAATTCTCAAGCGAAGTAATCACTTTTATTGCCCCACTAACACACTGCGAATGCGCTTAATAGCATCATAAGCAGTAAGTAGGTTCATAAGCTAACAAATTATGTGACACATTTTCTTTTTTATCTAATTTTTTATATTTTGCCAGAAGAATTTAAGCAAATAGCCAAGCATGCATGACATTTCATATAAAGCGAAGTTTGCCGCTTACAGTTTTCTACTTTATGTTTATTGTTTAGAAACATCATGTCATTTAGTAATGACTGTGATTTAGTAATGGCATTTAAAAAAATATTTTATTGGTATTTTGAGCCATTTTAGGCAAACATCCATCTAATGCTTTGGATCTGCCAGTCTGTATATATGCTTGGTAGTTCCTCAGTTTTTGAGATAAATCTGAAATTTTTCATACGTCATTTTCTTCCTAAGGAGCTGCTCATTTGTCGGAACCGCTGATGTCGGATCATCATATTATATAGCTACCATACAAACTGAACGTTTAAAAACAAGTTCTTGTATGTAAAACTTTTTTTATTTTATAAGATATATAGATAATCGAAAACACATTAGCTTGATAACTATCAATAATTTTTCGATGAAAACCAGATCAACTTTTTTTTTTGAGATTTCTGGTGTTAATTTTTATATTGCTTGAGATTTGAAAATAATAACCTTTTAGTTCCTCACCAGCGCTTCTTATTTTCTTCAAAAAATGCAATTATTTATCAATCACAATATTTCAGCTGTATTCTCTGACATCATAATCAACCTGCAACATGCTGCAAATTTAAAAAAAATTATAGATTACAAAAATTTTAATCTGATGATGCCTCAAACCTTGAGACTACTGAATTTTCCACCACAAATCGCTTGGCTTGGGTGTGTTGTCACCCACACTGAAGACAAATTGAGGCGTAATTCACATAAAGACCAATTAAAATCAATGCCAACCCCTCAAAAATGCTGTGCAATACTATAGTTTGGCCAATTTGAGTCTAAGCGCATTAAAGATTCTCCAAAGCCAAAAACAACAAAAATATTTGGTAATTTAAAACAATTAAGGCGGCGGCGGCAATGCGACACGACACTTTATGGCATTATTATGTCATTCATGAAATTCCTACCGACAATTCGAAGCCACGCATATTTCTAAATATATATGTGTATATGTGTGCATATATGTACGTATATTTAAGTGTCAAAACATTTTTAGAGACGCAGCCAAGCAAAAAACAATGCATGCTTGTGTTTTAGCCACTTGTACAGCCATTGACTCGCCACTTGACAAGACAAACAACAACAAATAATAAACAAGAAAATTTTTATTTTTGGCTGCATTGAAGCAATAATACCCTTCACAGGTGCATTTCTTATAGCATAAAAGTGTATAAAAAGATCTAAATCTTGATTTTGATTGGTCAGTTTGTATAGCAACTATATGATATAGTGCTCCGATCAGAACTATTTCTTCAGAGATAGTACCTTGTTTTTGGCTAATAACCCTGGCGAAATTTCGTTCTAGTCACTAGTTCGCGTATATACAGAATAACGGATGGAAGGGCATGGTTAAATCGACTCAGCTCAGCTGTTCAGCGTATACAAATAAAATAAAAACACCTCCTCAAAAATAAGCTCGATTACCATTACTTAATAGCTCGGCTTGAAGCATTAAGCGTTAAGCGCTGTAATTTATTGACGAACTCCAAAATGGCACAATCGTGTGTGAGTGTGTTTGTGTGTATGGATTTACAACTAATTCGGTGTGCAGTGGCACTTATTTCACTTGCTTATGAATGACTGTACAATTATTTTTGATTGAAAATTGCCCTTTGTTAATTTATCAGTTTTATTGAGCCAACGTGCTCGCACATTAGCCGATTAGTCGCTTGTAACTGCTACTTGTCTTCTTTTATTGCGCGCGCCAAAATCGGACGCAAATTTTGTTGAGCCGAATGAATAAACGGTGAATTCGATATACACATATATAAATATGTATAAGTATATATATATAATGTCTATATGTATGAGTAATAAAAATAATAACGCTTTAAAACAATCAAAGCGGTCTTATTGGCGAACGGATGCCGCGCGACAACCGCAACATGCTGCCACCGGATATTGCTGAATAATGTAGCCAGAACTTTTGCTTGTTTTTCATTGATATTTTTCTTAGCCCAGCGCAACTTGTGGCACATAGTAATAAATATAGTTTGAAGGCTCTCAGTTCAGTAGAGTTCAAGAAATTCTATCAGCAAGCACAACACTACTTAGTCAATTTTAATAAAATAAGTTTTCAATTTCAGTTTTAATTATATAAGAGTTTTGTAAAAAAAATAATAAAATACAGATATATTGTAACGTAACAATGGTATACTAAACCATCTAAGATAATTGTTTACGTCTTTTCAACGCAGTAGTCACCACAGCATCTCTCGGGGACTCGCAGCGACTTAATTCAATCTTAGTTTCCCATATCTTCTCAACTCTTGCGTTGAAAAATTTTCTTATACATCTTAAAATCGTTCAGAGGCTGCTTGGGTCCTTCCATTTTTCAAGATGGGCATCATCATTAAGAGTCATGCATCTAAGAAAGTTTTACCATAAATGACAATTTTTATTTTACATCGGATTCATCCAAAAACCGGTGGGAAAAAAGAAAAATGTCCACAGATTCAGGCTATAAGGGTGAGGATATATTAATATCAGCAGAAAAATAGTAGTTATTACAATGCCAAATTCAAATTGTTACGTGTGCAAAAGGTGTTCAGAAGTTTTTTGTAGGTATTTTAATTATCATTAGAAATGTATCAAATACAGCGGCGAATCTTTTGAATTAATTGAAGCGATTTTGAAATTTTTGAAACCCCAGAATTCTACAAAAAACTTTTACGAATCGTTGAGTATATACAAAATTTATATTTCTTCAGCTGTCTAATATACATATATACTTGTATCTTAGGGAAAGAAGTGATCGAGACATAGCTCTTTTAATTAATTAAACACCGGAAGAAATTTTGTGGTTATGTTTACTACAATGTGCGTCACTCTCAAAAGCAGGAAAATTCCGGCGAATTTCTGAGTTATGACGCCGAATATTAAATTAATTTTGATTAATGGATAAGATCGTTTATGTTACAAGTGTTGAAGTAGACGAATTATATTGAAGCAAAAAATAGCATTATTTAAATAAATTAATATTTGTATACCCTGTATAGGGTATATTAGTTTGCCACA